CCCGGGGACACACGAGTGAGGAGGAGGCTTCCCCTCCTCCTCACACTCAACCAATTGAGGACTCCCGGCAGCAATTGCACCCCTGCCTCCCAGCTGGGACTCCCAGCTGCTCCCCCGCCCATGCCAGGCTTCCGTCCAGTGCGCAGCCAGAAAAATCAGAAGATACCTGACATTGCACATGTCCAGTATTTTCTGATTTTTTTTACTGGACAGAGGGCCCGAAAACCAGACTGTCCAGTAGAAAACCAGACACCTGGCAACCCTATATGTCGCCGCCCCACCCCATTCGCCTTCCGCCGTGGTGCTTGGCTGAGTTCTGCACCGCTCAGCGAGGCCACCGCGGGGGAGCAGTGCAGAACTCATCTGAGTGCCACAGTGGGAGGTGAAGAGTGATAGGGTGGTGACCCTGACTCCATCAATTTCTATTTCCATCAATTTTACCAGTGGCTTCAGTGTAAAAGAAAAAGTGTATCATTTTCTCAGACCAAACCAAATTTTTAATGAAAGATTTGACTACCATTTTATATTTTGAAAGGCACTTTGCTTTTATATTCAATTGTATGTTAAATTTAGATGCAGTATAATAATTGTAATGTTGCTTATTTTAGTAAATGTGTGTGTGTGAGAGAGAGAGAGAGACGGAGAGAGAGAATGGAGGCTCAGGAGAGAAGACGGATGTGGAGAAGAGACCTGAAAATCCTGTCTTATGACAGACTAATTGGCTAGTTTCAAAATAGGAAGTGTATACACAGCACTTATTTTGAAATAGAGCACTTTTCCTCCAACTTCCCTTACTCCCCATACAATAAAGGTTACAGGAGTTGGAGTAAGAAGTCCTCCAGCTTGACAGTATTTTGACACTATTTTGAAATAACTGCCTGCTGAGTAGACGTGGACTTCAGTTATTTCAGAATAGCACTAGTTATTTCCAAATAGTGTTGCAGTGTAGACGTACCTTTAGACTAACAGATGTATTAGGGCATAAGCTTTCATGGGTAAAATCCACTTCATCAGATGAACTGGAGTAGAGTTGACAGAGGCAGGGGTGTGTGTATGTGTACATGCACGCACACACACCAGGGTGGAAGTGGCTCATTCACTTTTCCACATCAAGTGCTGTGAATGAGCCACTTCCATCCTGCACTCACTGTTCTTGCGCAAAAAGCCTGCAGGGTAAACACAGCCCCAATGTATATCTATCTATCTATCTATCTATATCTCCATGCCTCTCTAAACACTACTCCAATTCATCTGATGAAGTGGGTTTTACCCACAAAAGCTTATGCCCTAATAAGCCTGTTAGTCTCTAAGGTGCCACAGGAATCGTTGTTCATGGCCAGTTTATATCCATTTGATCTCGAGCCAACTTTGCCCTCAACTTAAATAGCTCTTCAACCTTCCTGCCAGTTACTGCTCATGTATGTGTACAGAGCACTATTTCCCCTCTCAGCATTCTTTCTGCTCGACTAAATAAGCCACGCACGTCCAATCCCCTCCGTTTCCTAGACCATCCTAGTAGCTCTTTTCTATAGCTTCTCTAGTTTGAAATACTCTTTCTTGAACAAGGATCACCTGAGATGCACACAGCATTGCAAATTAGGTCTTCCTAGTAGGGGCCATGTGTGAAGGGGTGGTCAAGGGGGAGCACGAGCCTTCCAAACACAGTGGGCAAAGGGAACAAGGAGACAGAACCTTTGGGGAGTCCAGGGATTAGCAGCAGAGCAACTGGTGAGGGGTGAGACAGCCCCCTCTGCAGGGCACAGAATGAGTACTGGAGGTCTGAACCACACTGTGCAGGCACCTGGACAGCGTCAGTCAGGGGAGAGGGTTTGGGAGAAGAAGTGAGGTGGGGATGGAGCAGGGGCAGAAAGAGGCAGGGAAAGGAAAGGGCTGGAGAAGAGGAAGTGTTGTCCCAGACCTCCCCCCAAGCTGTGGTTCCGTGGGGAGGAGTCACATGGGGAAATAGTCGCATGGCCAGTGCCCAACCTGCTGTGCAGGCACCTGGACAGCGTCAGTCAGGGGAGAGGGTTTGGGAGAAGAAGTGAGGTGGGGATGGAGCAGGGGCAGAAAGAGGCAGGGAAAGGAAAGGGCTGGAGAAGAGGAAGTGTTGTCCCAGACCTCCCCCCAAGCTGTGGTTCCGTGGGGAGGAGTCACATGGGGAAATAGTCGCATGGCCAGTGCCCAACCTG